GGACCCCAGGGCAAAGCAGACCTGAGTTGAAGGTCTGGTTCTACAACACACCAGCCAGCTGTCATTCAGGCCTGTCCTTGTCAGCCTCTGCGTCCAGCTGTGTGTGATTTCTGCCTTTAGCCAGATTAAACTGTAGGCATCCCTTCCCACCATTCCTATAAATTTCAACTTTGCAGGCACAGTCCTGGTATCCCCAGACAGTGTTGGTGGGTTGGTGGGTCTGGGGAGTGACCTTCACATCATCAGTCAGCATCGTTTATGTGGAAACTATGACAGTATCTGATCTTCAAATTTCCAACTTTTCCTGGGACTTGAACTGTGGTCGGCCATGTGGGAATGTCCAGTACCTTAACTACCATGCCACCTGCTGGTCCCCAGTTCTTTTCTTATTAATACATAAAATAATAATGGATTTTAAGATGGAGGGCGTCTTAGACTTAATAAAAATAAATGTTACTAAATAGAATGATTAGTTTCAGGTTTTTACACTTATTTATCTGTTTATTTGTTGTGACTTTTCTCCCCCCCTTTTTTTTTTGGAGAGGTTTTTGCTACAGGGCGCGTGTGTTGGCCAGAAAGACAGAGAGACAAAGCGAGAAATCAGCCCTCAGGGGGTTGGCCATGCCGCAGTCCCTTCTCCTCCATTCTCCTCTTGGAATCTTGAGCACGCACGCACATGCTCCTGGCATGAGTTTAAGCCACTGGGTCCAGGATTCGAACTGCGGTCATCTACATGGGAATCCAGCAACATAGCCATTACGCTAACTGCTGGTCCCATTTGTTGTGATTTTTCAAGACACAAGGTCCAGGACTCAAACCGTGGTTGGTCATGTGGGAGTCTAGTGACTTGAACCACCATGCTACCTGCTGGTCCTTTAATTTAGTATTTTTAACTTAGTAAATATTTTACATCCCTATTTTAATTTGCTAATTAATTTTTACCAAAATTGTTTATTTATTCCATCATTTATTTTAATTTGACCAGAGAGAGACAGAGGAAGAGAGAGTGAAAGTGAGAAAGCAAGCCACCAGGTCTGGGACTTGAACCATGGTCAACCATGTGGGAGTGTCCCACACCTTAAGCACCATGCCACCTGTTGGTTCCCCTAACAGATCCAATTTTATCCATTACTTGATGAGCCCTGTAGTTCTGGAAATATGCCCCTCCTCCAGTTCTGAGAAATGTTCTTAAGTTTTCTTTCTTTTTTAATTTTTCAATTTTATTTGCTATTATTAATATTTTTTAAATGTTGCAATAGGAAACACACACTCACCAGAGAGAGAGGGAAAGTAAGCCACCAGGTCTGGGACTTGAACCACAGCCGACCATGTGGGAGTCCGGCACCTCCAGTTTTCAAGATTATCTCCCCTCTATTATTTTAGTTCTGTCTTTCTCAAACTCCGAAGTTGGGCTCCTAGACTTATTTTTAAATGACGAATTTGTTTTAATAAGGACTCTTAGACTTCCTTTCCCCACTAGATACAGGTTTGTAGTAAGAACTCAAATGATTTGAAATTAACTTCATTTCTAATTGGTAAAACTAAAACAGAACATGGAGTCCGAAAGAAGAAATCTAAGTATGTGGGAAGAAAGACAACTGGATACCTCCAACAGCTCATAAAAGGGAAAAACCAACCCAGTCCTGACAGACTTAGGAGTTCCTTGTGGTTTGAAATGTTAAGAAGCATGAGGGAACTTCAAAAAGCTCAGGGAAAAGTGGAATTAAGTACAAGTTTATTCTAGTGCTAAAATAAAATTGAGATCTATGCAGCTTTTTGATAATGTACATTTTCATAAACTTGCTACAGGGCACATGTGCTCACCAGATAGAAACAGAGAAAGTGAGAAATCAAGCCACCAGGTCTAGGGCTCGAACCAATTGGCTCTTAGGAGTCAGTGCCTTAGCCACCACACCACCAGCTGGAGAGCCATAAACCTTTTTAAAGACTGCGTATGTCAAGGTAGAAGAAAAACAAGTCTTGGAAACCTTCATTGTATTACAGAAGTATTTTCTTACTGCTAAATGATTCACATATTGGGAAGACTAAGTTACAGTTCTTTACATTTCATCAATATTAAATAATTGATCAATTTAATCAATATTAAATGTGAAGTATGACCTAGTTCTGAATTGTGTTTTTCCCTTTATGAGCCATTAAAGGTATCCAACTTTAGCTTTCCCAAGAGCTCTTTTTTTGGTGTAAATTTTAGAACTGCATCTTGTTCTCGTGTCATGAATGCACTATTTTACCATTAACAGTTTGGTTTTTTTTTTTTTGGTTTTCTTTCTGCATATCGTTTCCTTTTTTTATTTCTTCCATGAGCAAAAGAATCCAAGAAACGGAGAGGAAGCACCCCTAGCACTGTCTTGATGCTGAGATCCACCCCGCTGCAGCCAGTCCCAGCACATGCCGGGGTACACAGGGAGGGATCCAGACACAACCACCAAACCTTCTCCTATGGGTCAGCCTTGCAGAGCTACTCCTGCACCACTGTCTGATTCTGTTTCCTTCTAAGATGCTTTCTTCTGTTGATTTTTTTAAAATTAAATTTATTTATTCATTTATTCTTAATTTGAACAGAGAAAGAAACAGAGAGAGCTAGAGAGAGAGAGGGAAACCAAGAAATCAAGCCACCAGCTCTGGGACTTGAACCATGGTCGGCCATGTGGGAGTATCCAGCACCTTAGCCACAATGCCACCTGCTGGTCCCCTTCTTCTGTTGATTTTGATCGCCCATATTAAATGCTTTCTTACATGGTGACCTGCAGCTATCTGCTCAAGTTTAGTAATGCTTCTGCGTTGTTTGGGAAGTTTTGTGAGTGGGCTTGGTGACTGAGGCTCCAGCCTATTTCACTAGTGGGCAGTACCATACTCTCTGCTGGTCCTAGGATCCTCCATCTTTGGTGCCACTTTGTTCCTCTTTCCACAGGCTCCTTAAGCTGACTCTCAGCCTTGTGGGAGTTTTTCAACAATGAAAATCAGATTGTTTCTCAGATTTCCCCCCCTGCTGGGCAGCCTTCCTGGGTCTACCAGTTCAGTTACGGAGGATCTGCTTTCCAGCATCCAAATTTTTGTTGCTGTTGACTCTTCTTTCTTTAATCCTCGATGGCTTATGCCATTGAGAATCCCCTTCCTGTCATTGTCACACACTAAATCCATCTAGTCCATCTATTGTGAATGGCTATGTTGCTAATGTTCAAACTTCTTAAAATTAAAAAGTTATTAGCTTCAGGGACCAGCAGTTAGTGTAATGGCTATGTTGCTGGACTCCCATGTAGTCGACCGCGGTTTGAGTCCCGGACCCAGTGGCTTAAACTCACTCTGGGCGCATGTGCGTGCCTGCCCAAGATCCCGAGAGGAGACTGGAGGAGAAGGGACTGCGGCATGGCCATCCCCCCTGGGGGGTGATTTCTCGCTTTCTGTCTCTATGTCTCTCTCTGCCTTTCTGGCGAGCGCATGCGCCCTGTAGCAAAAACCTCTCTCTCAAAAAAAAAAAAGTTATTAGCTTCAAACCAAATGATCATACTGATAACCAAGATTTTTTTTTAAGAGACTCTTTGCTATAGATTTTTGCATGTGCTCCTCTGAGAGGCCAGAAAGAGACAGACAGACAGAAAGTGAGAAATCACCACCCAGGGGCATGGCCACACTGTAAACCATTCCTCCATTCTCCTCTTGGAATTTTGGGTATATACACACACACATACCTAGCTTGGGTTTCAATTCACTGGGTCTGGGACTCAAACCGTGTTTGGCCATGTGGGAGTCTGCCACCTTAACAACTGTGCCACCAGCTGGCCCCTAACCCAAAATATCTTTAAGCTCTGGATCAAAAAGCACTCAAACATGGATTATTTTTTCTGACACTGATGACAACCCTGGATGGTTCTGTTTTATACACAAGCAAATCAATAACCAAGAATGGGGCCAGCCTGTGGCATGGTTGTGAAGGTGAATGGATCCCAATGGCCTACTGCACGGTTCAAATACAGGACCTGGTGGCTTAGAAAACATACCAAGCATGAATGCATGCGTGCTCAAAATCCCCAAAAGAGGAAGAAATGGAGAAGGTATTGCTGTGTGGCCTTGCCCCATGCAGGGTGCTTTTGCACATCTCCTTTCTCTGTCTCACTCTCCGGAGAGCACTCATGCCCTCTAGCAAGAAGAAAAGGAGAGTCGAGAATGGTTCGCATGCCTTATTTAAAGCCATCTGTCTACAAGCCATATTTGAAAGGCTGACTACTAGACTATAAATATTAAAATTTTAATCAGAAGTCCTCATTTAAAAACAACCCAATTTTCAACTGCTCTTGAAAAATGGGAAAATGGAGCAGCATCGGATCTACACTTTCCATGGTGATAGTCCTCTGAGGTCAAATCTCCGCTGCCCCTTTCAGATGGGTCATGAGCCCTCCAGGTTACCTCAGCCTCCAGCCAGCTACTTCACTTGTGTTTTACTAGGAAACATTGGAATTTGAGACAGGAAAGGGAGAAATCTTTTTATTTAGAAAGACAAAATGGAACTTAGTCCATATGCAAAAATAAATCTGTACACAAGCCACTTTCTCTGTGTCCCTCTTGAGTAGGTTAAATATTTTTCTCAGAGACCAGAAACTCAAACCAGAGGTACAAATCCACAGAGAATATGCATATTTTGTGTCCTTCCCCCGCCCCCCCAACAAGCTGCATATATTTGTGTAAACATTTATTGAGTCATAAAACATTGTCTAGTACCGCAGACAGATGTGTTGGGACAAAAAGAAATGAAATCACTAAAACAGCAACAAGGGCTGCTTCACCTGGCTTGGTTCTTCAAGGCTGCATTTGATGACAAATCCCCGTGGTGACTTGGGATGGTTGGGTGATATTCAGAAGCAATGAGATTTAGGAGTCTTTTTTTTTTCTTTCTTTCTGACACCCATACGGCCTACTATTTATTTAATTCTTTTTCTCTTACCTATAGCTAAACTGAAGGGGCAATTAAACTCATTTAACAGTTAGTTTTATTCCCAGGAGCCTTCAAATGACAGCAACTCACCAACCCTAGCTGCAGCCTAGCCTCTTACTAGCAGCATCGCTGTGGAAGACTCTGCCTTTCAGGACCTCGGTTTCCCCATCTGTGAAGTGGAGGGACCGGATGACTGATAATGGTAATGCCAGCTCTGCTAATCTGGACTTTCAGCTGCTGCTCGCTCTCGAAGATAGTGTCTGATGTCTTCCCAGTTAGGCAGACAAGTTCTGTCTGTTTTTCTTTCAATAATATGCCCAGCCTTTGTGGAAAAAGCTGCCTTACCAGGTTTAGAAGGCACAAAACTAGGTTTTGAGGGTGAAATAAGTTCTTCTGTTGGCTCAGAAGGATCTCAACATCTGGCAAGTTCATTGTTTACTCTCGGTGGTCCTTTAAGAAGCATCTGCTGGCTGGACATTCAGGCGATCACAGCCTCCTGAGGAAGATGGGGACCAGCTACTGACAGTAAGGCTATGTGGGTGGGTGGTGGTGGAATTGAGGGGGTGATGGTTCAGGTCAATCGAGACAATGAATTGGCAATTGGGCGGAGGAACCAGAGCTCCCAAGAGTGACAGCAGTGACTACAGCTGGCTCTCCAGTTGTTAACATGCTTATGGAGCGCCCACTCCAAAAACATAAGGCACTGTCTTTTTGAGCACTGGAGGCCATAGAGCTGAGATAGCTCCTGCCCTCAGCAGTTAAAGCAGCTCTCAGTCAAGGGTCAGACAGAGGTGGATACACTACAGCCCCAGAGGACCACCTGCTTTTATCAAGTTTTACTGGCATACTGCTCACACTTGTTTACGTGTCCTCTGGCTGCATCTGCCCTACGACAGCAGGGCTGAGTGGCTGCAACAGAGGCCAGGCCAGACCTAAAATCTTTACTCTCAGGTCTTCACAGGAAGGTCCGCGCATCCCTGCTAGAGAGGAGCTGACATCTAACAGAGGAATTAGACAGATGGGTAAGGGAACACAGCTAATTTGTAGAATCTCAGAGAGGGAGGAGGCTGGCTGAATTAACATCCTCAAATAGAAGCATGCCTTACGGGAGGCTTGATTACTTTAAAGAGCTAAGTCACAATGAATTTCTTATTTATGTTTCGCATGTGCAATTTAAGTTTATGTACTGATTTAAAATACACACAACTTCACACAAGCCAACTACTGAGCAGGTACAGATGGAAAAGGGTGAGCGGTTCCAACTTCTAAAGGAAAACTCGCTGTGGTGAGTCCACACGCAAATACCAGGGACACTGTCATTCACAGGGGGTCTAAGGGATTTTTCATGGGTACTTTTTTTGTAATGGCCAAAAGGTGCATGTATTCATTAGAGAGAGAGAGGGAGAGAGAGAAAACACTTCCCAATGGGGTGTGGTCATGCTCGAGTCCCTTCTCTCTTTCTCCATCCAATCAGGATTCTGGGCTTGTCTACACTGTTTTTCAAGCAGCCAATGCTGGGATTTGAACTGTGGTTGGCAATGTGGGATCCAGCTCCCTTAGCCCCTAGAGTACAGGTTGGCCATCAAGGGTACTTTTTACACTACTTGATTTTTCTTTGAAGGAACCTATTGCTCTCACAGGTTCAAGACTCCACAGTACTCAATACTGAAGTGTTGAAGGACCTGTTTTAGTGACCAGATTACAACGGTTTGTATGTTATGTCCTGCTTTATGTTTTTTTTTTTTTTTTTTTACACAAAAATGGAAGGTTCCTTTTGCATTTGGGGTCCGTCAATCAAAACAGTCTGCTTTCTTTGCTATTTGCAACATCAAATGAAATCATACTAAGGTGAAACCCAACCTCTGTTTAAAGGGAGATCTCATTAAATAAAGACAACCACAGTCTGGCCCTGGGGACACTAGAGGAATTAATGAGTGTTTATAGTTCCTGCCCTCTCATTTCTCAGACATCTTAGATAACATCTCCAGGGGCAGCTGCTGAAAACATCCTGCTGCAGATGCAGAGAAGATCGGCCTAGCTTCAAGAAGAAAACACGAAGGACAGGTTGGAGAGCAGATTCTGCAGAAGAACACCAGATGCTACAAACACGCCAAGGATCACTATAGAAGGGACGCTTCAGTCACACTGTGGATGCTGCCACTGAGATGCAGAGCACAGGCCTGCCTGGAGGAAAGGCCCCAACCCTCCATGTCACTGTCCTGACACCTGAGGCATGGAGGGCGCCCTCTTCCACAAGCTGACACAGGAGCTAGAGGTAGTAAACGTGTGCGTACAGAAGCCCGACCTGGTTCGTAAAGCCCACTGTGGAAGGCATGCTTGAAAATGCGATTTGGCTGGGTTCCAGAAACTCTGTTGCATTGTGGGAGGAAATGAAAGGTTAGAAATCAGTCGGCGTGCAAGGCCCTCTCCCACAGTAGCAGGGGTCCTGAGTGTCGTACGACCTCACATCCACCGAACAATGCTGTGCACGCTTCCAACTGCTCTAAGAAGGCTTTGCACTAAGTCACGACAACACACCCCATACAACGTTAACACGAAGTGCTACATTCCCACCCCGATGCATCAAACACAGGGCTCTGTGGGCCTGAGATTTCAGTCCAGCCTGAAAAGGCTGGTGAGTAAGAGTTCTAATATTGTCCATCCAAGGTAGAAAAGTACTCTCTTATATCTCATGACCAAAAAAAAAAAAAAAGAAAGAAAAATAAAAACAGAACCTCAAAATGATAGACTAGTTCACTATGCTGCTTTTCCAATCCCCACTCCCCTAAAATACTGCCCTAAAGGACAGCTATAGTATCTTTGCAAGTATGCAAGTAGCAAAGACATTTTCAAGAGTCAAAAAATGAAATACAAAAGCCAATTTACAACACACTGCATACTAAAAATGCCTCCTCTCCCCAAACTAAACAAGTTATTCTTTTTTTTTTTTTTTTTTTCTTTCTCATAGCCCTTTTGCTTGGGATTAGCTGGCCACGATTTCCCAGCAAGTCATTCCTCCATCTGGGCCCAGGCCTCCTCTGCCTTCTGGTAGTACTTGGTGGCCAGCCGGCCCTTCATGGCTTCCATCGCTGCCTCAGCGGCCTGGGTGTACAAGTCCCCTGAAAGACACAAAGTGGGGCACAAAGAGGTGAATTGGGTTGTTTCTGCCAGCCAGTGTCCCCCACCCCTTTCAGAAAAGTACCTGGAAGTTTTTTTTTTAGGAAGCCAAACTACTACTTCACCCTTTCCCTCTAGGTGATCAGGATGGGGCACGAAGGATGAGCACCTGATCAAGCCTGGCCAATTAGAGTTAGCCATCTCAGTGAACCACAGGGATTGGTTTAGGAGTTGGTAGGTGACTAAATCTGAGCCAATGAGAACCAGGCTGAGGACTTTTGTAGGGCTAACTGGGGGTGTAGGAAAGTGGAAGAGCTAGAGATTATAAACAGCTTCCTGTCAGCTTAGGCCAGGTTTTCCCACCAAATGAATTTATGTAAACTTAACAAACACACTTTCGGTTTTAGAAATGCCAAATAAGGAATTATAGATTTTACATTTTTCTAGTTGTTTAATTTTGTTCCCTTGCAGGACATGTGCATTCACCAAAGACAGAGAGAAAGTGAGAAAGCACTCCCCAAAGGGGTGGCCATACTGCAATCCCTTCTCCCCCATTTTCCTTTTGGGAGTTTGGGCAGGCACATGCAGCCAGTGAGTTTTTCAAGCCATTAAGTCTGAGACTCAAACCACGTAGTTGGCCATGTGTGACCCAGCCACCCTAACCACTGTGTTGCCAGCTGGTCCTCATTTTCTTTTTTTTTTTTAAAGACTTATTTTATTTAATTTCACTTATTCATTAGTTTATTTTAATTTGACCAGAGAGAAAGAGACACAGAGAGAGAGAGAGAGGAGAGAGAGAGAGAGAGAGAGAGAGGGGAAGTGAGAAAGCAAGCTATCAGGTCCAGGACTCGAACCATGGTCACCCATGTGGGAGTGTCCAGCACCTTAACCACCACACCACCTGCTGGTCCCCCCTCATTTTCTTTATACAACTTTGAAAACCTTTTCAAATTTAACCTCATCCTCTATAGGTGACATCAGGAATTTGGTAGGGTAGGTATGTGTGAGGGACTAAATGCGCCCTGGCCCAGCAATTTGCTGCAGCCCTAATGATGTTACGGGAAGGCAGGGCCTGTGAGGAGGGTGATAAAGGTACATGAAGTCATTAGGGTGGGGCCCTACCTGCATAGGGCTGGTGCCCTTAGAGGAAGGGGAAGAGACGTCAGGATTCTCCCTCAGCGTGCACACACACAGGCCATGTGAGTACACAGCAAGAAGGTGGCATGTGGGACCAGCAGTTGGCATAATGGTTATGTCACTGGACTTGCATGTAGTTGACCGCGGTTCGACTCCCAGACCTGGTGACTTAAACTCACACTGGGCCCGTGTGCGAGTGTGCCCAAGATCTCAAGAGGAGAATGGAGGAGAAGGGATTGCGACGTGGCCATCCCCCCTGGGGGGCGATTTCTTGTTTCTGTCGCTCTCTGTCTTTCTGGCGAGTGCACAGGCCCTATAGCAAAGACTTCTCCAAAAAAAAACAAAGCTCCCACAAAAAAAAAAAAAAAAAAAGGTGGCATGTACAAGCCAGAAAATGAGCTGGCTGGTACCCTGATCTTGGACTTTGCTATGGATAATGGCTTATCTTTCAGAGTTTCGTGTTTTGGAATTTTCATTTGGGGAAGTGGTGATGCCTAATGAGTAATGATGATGATGACTGCATCGTGGGAGGTGACGCTCTTGTGAATAGAGTAATGATGTCTTAAAAGACCTAGCGAGTTCCAGCTCTCATGAGAATGGATTAGTTCTCGCGAGAGCTGGTTGCCATAAGAGAGAGAGAGCACTGCCCACAGCTTTCCCCACCTTCCCCCCACCCCCGTGTCTCTCTCTGCATGCTCTGGCATCCTCTGTGCTTCCATCAGGCAGGTGATAGGCCAGGCCAATGCCAGGCCCACATTTTTTAACTTTCCAGCTGCCAAACCTGTGGGTCAGTAAACTCCTATTTCTTAATAAATCACTCGGTCTTGGGAACCAGCAGTTAGCATAATGGCTATGTCGCGGGACTCCCACGTAGTCAACCGTGGTTCGCGGCCTGGACCCGGTGGCTTAAAACTCACGCTGGGCGCGTGTGCGTGCGTGCCTAAGATCCCGAGAGGAGAATGGAGGAGAAGGGATTGCGGCGTAGCCATTCCCCTGGGGGGGTGATTTCTTGCTTTCTGTCTCTCTGTCTCTCTCTGACTTTCTGGCGAGCACATGTGCCCTATAGCAAAAACCTCTCAAAAAAATTTAAAAATAAAATAAATAAATAAATCACTCGGTCTTGGGAACCAGCAGTTAGCATAATGGCTATGTCGCGGGACTCCCACGTAGTCAACCGTGGTTCGCGGCCTGGACCCGGTGGCTTAAAACTCACGCTGGGCGCGTGTGCGTGCGTGCCTAAGATCCCGAGAGGAGAATGGAGGAGAAGGGATTGCGGCGTAGCCATTCCCCTGGGGGGGTGATTTCTTGCTTTCTGTCTCTCTGTCTCTCTCTGACTTTCTGGCGAGCACATGTGCCCTATAGCAAAAACCTCTCAAAAAAATTTAAAAATAAAATAAATAAATAAATCACTCGGTCTTGGGAACCAGCAGTTAGCATAATGGCTATGTCGCGGGACTCCCACGTAGTCAACCGTGGTTCGCGGCCTGGACCCGGTGGCTTAAAACTCACGCTGGGCGCGTGTGCGTGCGTGCCTAAGATCCCGAGAGGAGAATGGAGGAGAAGGGATTGCGGCGTAGCCATTCCCCTGGGGGGGTGATTTCTTGCTTTCTGTCTCTCTGTCTCTCTCTGACTTTCTGGCGAGCACATGTGCCCTATAGCAAAAACCTCTCAAAAAAATTTAAAAATAAAATAAATAAATAAATCACTCGGTCTCAGGTGTTTCTGTTAGCAATGCAGTAACAGACTAAGACTGACTTCTCATCCTCCAGACTGAGAAATAAATGTCTGTCGTTTAAGCCACTTAGTCTATAGCATTGTGTTATGGCAGCCTAAACAGATTATGTAACAGGAAAAGACATAATTTAATCCACTGATGACTGGGTTAACAAAACAATGGATGGGGGACCAGCAGTTAGCGTAATGGCTAATGTTGCTGGACTCTCATGTAGTAAACTGTGGTTCAAGTCCCAGACCTGGCGGCTTAAACTCATGCTGGGCGTGCCCAAGATCCCGAGACGAGAATGAAGGGGAAGGGATTGCGGCGTAGCCATTCCCCTGGGGGGGTGATTTCTTGCTTTCTGTCTCTCTGTCTCTCTCTGTCTTTCCAGTGAGCGTACATGCCCTATAGCAAAAAACCTTCCAAAAAAAAAGGATGGGATAACAAAACAATGGGATATTATTTGGCAATAAAAAGGAGTGCTACAACATGGGTATAGGTTGAAAACATAACGAAGTGAAAGAAGCCAGATATACAGGTCACGTTTTAAATAAAGTGTCCTCGGCAGGCAAACCATTATGGACAAAAGGTAGAGTATTGGTTGCAGGGGATGGAAGGAGAGGAAAGTTGGGGTGATGGCTAACTGCTATGAAGTTTCTTTCTGGGGTGATAGAAGTGATCTAGAATTAGACAATAGTGGTGGGTGGACAACATTGTAAAGGTATTAAACATCACTGAATTGCATGCTTTAAGATTTTTTTTTAAGTTTTAATTTGTTACAGTTTTGCTATAGGGTGTGTGCACCTGCTGGAGACAGAGAGAGAAAGAGAGAGAGAGAGAGAGAGAGAGGAATCACCCCCTGGGGAGATGGTCATACAGCAATCCCTTCTCTATCCTGTCAGGCTTTTGGAAACACACATGGGTCCAGCATGTTTTTCAAGCTGCCGGGGCCAGATTCTTTTTTTTTTTTTTTGAGAGAGGTTTTTGTTATAGGGCGTGTGCGCTCGCCAGAAAGACAGAGAGACAGACAGAAAGCGAGAAATCACACCCCAGGGGGGGATGGCCATGCTGCAATCCCTTCTCCTCCATTCTCCTCTCGGGATTTTGGGCATGCACGCACACACACCCGGCGTGAGTTTAAGCCACCAGGTCCAGGACTTGAACCGTGGTTGACTACATGCGAGTCCAGCAACATAGCCATTAATGTCAACTGCCGGTCCCCCAGGACCAGACTTCTAACCACAGCTGGTCATGTGGGATCCGACTTCCTTATCCAATAGACTACAGGGCTGCCCCTAGCTCAATTTTTAAAAATTGCAAAACAACGTCGACCAAAAAAACCCAACTATATAACCATAAAATAAAAACATCTGCATATCGGCTCCATAAAGCCCCTTCCTGAGGGAAGAGACTCTGTCATCTTGTCATGGGAATTAGGTCCCTCCCTGCCCAACTGTCCCACCCAGGGCAGGTCCACCAGGCCCTACCTGATCTCTGCGGGTCCTTCTTCAGCCCACAGCCGCCCGTGAACAGCATCTCGGCCTCCCTGGCCAGCAGCGTGTACCGGGGCTCGTCCTGCATCCCGTCGTACTCGCCGCCCTCATCACAGTCTGTCATCTCCAGAGCAGTGTTGTACCAGTGCAGGGCCTCCTGCCAGTCTTGGCACCTTCCCAGGAGATACAGGGGGAACGGAGGTCAGCATGGCAAGTGGCAGCAGGCCACCTAACAGGGGCTGTGAGTCAGAGATCCCAGCACGGCCATCGTCCATGGCTCCAGACCCACAGTACCCAAAGCCACCATGTCTAAGGGACACTGTTCACATTGTAGATTTACACTTTTTTCCAAAAGAATTATTTATCTTTAGTTGTTATTATTTCTTTAATTTTACCAGAGAGAGACAGAGAGAAAGAAGGGAAAGTAAGAAAGCAAGCCGCCAGGTCTGGGACTTGAACTATGGTCCACTATATCAGAGTCCAGTGCCTTAACCACCCACCATGCCACCTGCTAGCCCCTACATATTTTTTTAAAAGAATTATTTTTATTTAACTTGATTTATTTTATTTATTTATCTTTAACTTGAACAGAGAGGGACAGAGTGAAAGAGAAAGAGAAAGTGAGAAAGCAAGCCGCCAGGTCCGGGACTCAAACCACAGTTGGCCATGTGGTAGTCTAGCACCCTTCACCACCATGCCACCTACCAGCCCACTAGCCCCTACATATTTATTAAGAGGACAGGCAAGTAAGTTTCCTGAACAAAATCAGTAGATAGGAGGACTTCAAAAAGTTTGTGAAAAAGTGGAAGTACAAAATTTTTGATGTGAAAAATTTTGAAATCCATACATAGTTTTTTCATGATGTACATTTGCCATGAACTTTTTGAAGTCCACCCCCACCTATCCTATTACAATTTCCCAACAGATGGAAGGAAAACATCTTAAAGAAGTGGGTCATGTTTCTAGTTGGCTCAAATGCACCCTAGGAGCTAGCAATGACAGTGGCTGGAAGTCCATGCTGAGCTACTCTCTGCCTCAGGGTGGGTGGGGACCCTTTGCAGGCCCCCAGAACCATCTGAGCTCAGCAATCATTCAGCCCTTTTTATGTTCTGCCTGCGCTGGCCAGCCCAGCTCTCCACCTGCACGAGGCAGAGCTTACCCTGAGTGGCTGACTTCTCTCTTCTAACTTGGTCCTTCAGCCCTCAGCTGTGTCTCTTACCTTGGCATAGACCAAGGACATGTACAGGCCCCAGGCAAACCCACACAACACGAAACATACAGCAGGCAGGGCAGCGAGCTTTTTCTTTGAGTGTGCTAAGTATGCACTGCTGAGCATGTGAGTAGCTATTTATAGCACATCAGGAGAGAATGGGGAGATAAGGTCCATGGGACCCATGAAACACTGCAGGTGCAAGAGCTCTAATGATCTGTGGTCCTCTCATTCCTGTGGCCTCCTCGGAGGCCCTACTGACCTGGCACGGGCCTCCAGTCTCAGCTCCCATTAATCTCCCTTCATGCCAGGCTTGCTGGGCAGCTGTCCATTCCCAAACAAGCCAGCTCCCATCTGTTCCTTGGCCCCTGCATCTGCTTTTCCCTTGCCGTGGAATGATAAAATCTGCCTACCCGGCTCCCTTCTAGAAAGACACAGGAGGCTTCTGAGGACAGTGGGGTTGGCTAAGTTCCAGTAGGAGCCACAGAGGGTGAGCAGTGGGTCTCTTTACAAGTTCAATTCCCCCAACGACCTCAGCCCCCAAACTTCTGGGATTTCCCATGAAGCTGGGCTGCCCTTCCCTCCTCCACCTGCAGAAACCAGTCCTCACATCTCAGCCTGAAGGGCAAATGAGATGTGGTGACACCTGCAGAGCCATAGCCTTCAGGAATCCCAAAGCATCTTGAGAAAACTCACTCTGGAGCTTGCTACCTTTCTCTCTTGGAAGTGAAAAATAATACAAAAACAAAAGTAGGAAAAGCCAATTAAAATCTCCCAGCATCCTAACATCTCGGGACAACCAGTCTGAACCTGATTCTGCATTTCAGACTTTCCTCTTAGGCAACTCTTGACATCTACCAGCTAATGTGGCTGCCATTCATCACATGCTTTATGTGCCCACCTCTGAAAATTACCTGAGTGAGAGAAAGAGAGACAGAGAGCCTCAACAGGGTTTAGTCACACCACAATCCTTTTTCCCCAACTCTCCAGTTTGTCAGGATCTTGGGTACATCCATGCACCCAGCATGTTTCCAGTTGACTAGGCCAGGGATTCGAACCCATGGTCGGTCACGTGGCTTCCAGCACTACGCTGCTGCCTGTGCCACCAAGATTGGGCCCCATGTATAGTTTTTTCATAGTACACACTTGCCAAGTACTTTTGAAGACCTCTTGTAATTATTCCCAAATGACAAAGTGAAGAAATCGAGCCCAGTGAGGTAACATAACTTGCCCACAGTCACGGGAGAACCAGGACTAGAACCCAGATCTGTCCTAATACTGAAGGCCAAACGTCCACCTGCAGCGTAGGTGCTAACCAGAGAGGCAGCCACAGTACCTGTCTGGGCTGAGGTTCTGGCCGGTGTCAAAAGCTCGTGCCACCAGGATCATGGACTGTCTGTCGCCAGCTTCAGCCGCCTTCAACAGGTAATCGAATCCTTTTGTTTTATTCTCTTCTGTCTCCTGTCAACACAAGCCAAAGAGGAAGAAAGGAAAGCAAATGAGGCTCACACAAGAGGGAGTTGCCAAATCTCACTCAGCAACCTTGCTCATTTCTTGAGTTCTTTTGAGCACTCTGGGCTGGGGCTGCTGTGGAATCATCCGTCAGTGGTTTTCAGAACCTTCACGGAATTGTAAAACCATCGCCACAATCAATTTCAAAGTGTTAAATAAATAAAGGACTTTGGACTGCCTTCCCCCCTTTGTCCAGTCAGATCCACCCAACACTGGGCCACAGCCAAGTCCACTGAGGTGCCCAGTGCCCATGCTGGACCCAGCCTCAGCCAGCCATTTGTCATCCACAACCCTAGGCCATGTGATGTGGAGGACGGGAACAGACAGGCTGGAACCACACACGCACACCAAGGGCCCCTCAACGTCTCCTAGGCTTTGCCAGATCCCACTCATTCACACCTTTCCTCCCTGTGCCCACCAGCCAGGGAGGGAGGCAGCAATACACTCACGTACGATCCCACGCAGCCACGTCTGCAGCCCTGGCCCATTCTTCAGCCCCAGCTCACGCGTTACTCACATGCTCTGGCTACACTGCTGCCTCCTGTCCTCTGACCTGCGACCTCGTCTTGCCTCTGGGCAGGCATGCACTATTCCCTCCACCTGAGCGGCTCACCTCCCACAGCACCTGGCTCACCCGCTCTGGCCTCTCAGTCTAATTAGATACCCCTTTATCCAGTCCTTCCATGAATGTATGTTGAACACTACCGAATGCCGGGCTTTGCTCCAGCCACCAAAAATGGCCAGAAATAATGGACAGGAGGTCTGTGTTGGCCCCTCCCTTGGTTTGAATGTCCCCATAAAATTTATGTGTTGAGATTTGGTGGTGGCATGAGTAAGAGAGAAAAAATTTAATCCAACTGTTGTGTTTGAAGGTGGGGCCTTTGGGAGGAGAGGAAGATTAAGGTCATTAGGGTGGGGCCCCCATGATTGACTTCTGGTGGGCTGGGTCAGGGGGAGCAGAGGCTTGTACTTGCCTGTACATAGCATGTTTACAGAGCATGTTTTCCAGGCCACTGGGGCCAGGATCCAAACTGCATGGCTGACCATGTGGGATCTGGGTTCCTTAACCACGAGGCAACAGGCCTGGCTTGACACACGGTGGGTAGGAGAGGGAATGACTCCAGGACAGCGACACACGGATGCTGATGCATGTGTGCCACCTCCAACACGCTGTGCCACAGCCGGGGGACCCTCACCCTCATCCTGTGGTGCAGCCACTGGACCTTGGACTTCCAAACCACAAGCACGATAAACCTCCATTCTTAGAAATCATTTGGTTTCGGGGCCAGCAGGTGGCATGGTGGTTGAGGGCACTAGACTCCCACATGGCAGGCCGACTGCGGTTTGAATCTTGGACCTGGAAGCTTGCTTTCTCTCTCTCTCGCTCTCTCTCACTCTGCCCCTCTCTGGTCAAAATGAAAAATAAATAAAGTTAATAAAATAATTATTTTTTAAAAAATCACTCGGTTTCAGATATTTTCTGTTACTGGTGACAGAATGGACTAGAACACCACTCCAGCCCCTTAGGGCCCTTCCTCACTTGTTCCCACCCATGTCTCTACTCCTCCCATCACATTTTCAGGTCATGTAGTAACTGCCTGGAGAGATGACTGTCACCTGTCACCTTCCACTCACTCCCCAAGGACAAAGATCCATTTGACCAAATGGGCACCCAGGACATTTCTGTGGCATGCGTATGCCTCTAGGAGGGGAGGCAGATGGGCTGGCTGAGCGTCACCACCCCCTGCTGGGTCCCCACTGGCTCCTCACCTTTAGGGAGACATCGGCCAGGATGTGGTGAGGCAGCTGCGAGTACATCAGTCCCAGGCCCACGATGGCCTCCAGCTCGCCCAGGTCGGCCGCGTGCTCCAGGTGGTAGACGGCCGACTCGCGGTCCCACTCCTCGTCCTTCTTGCAGAAGCGCCCTCCCTCATGGTAACGCACCATGGCCAGATGCACCTGCCACACAGACCGTGGTGTTGGCCAGGCTGTCTGGGAGGCCAAAGCCACACCCAAGGGCCGCCCAGCCTGCCTGCAGGAGGAAGTGATTAGCAGAAGAGAGGCGTGAGCCGGGGGCTCCGGGTTAGTGCAGACAGGGCTCTGAAATGGGCATCGCCAATACCTTCCCCAAAATGGACTTCCCGATTTTCTTTTCAAGGTCCAGAGCATTAAGCCTTTGCACTTCCAGGGCCACGGCCGAAGGCCTCGGCAGGTGGAGGCGGGAGGAGTTCAGGAGATTCCACTTCTCCACACAGACCTGAAGGGAGAGAACCGAGCAGGGCCGAGTTCACGGGCCCCGGGGCTGGGCTGGCACACGGCCTCGCTGTCAGCAGCCCCCACTGTACTGGAGCCTGGCTCGTGAAACGGGGTGGACTCTGATCCTTTTTCTTGAACAAACAGCTTCAGTTCTAATCATCCAAATCCCAGCCACTCATGGGTGCTGAGATGCGACGACAGGACACAGACAGGACGCAACGGCTGCAACAGCTCAAGAAGCGCTCCCTTTGGGGCCAGAGGTTGGCACAGCTGGACCCCTACCCAGAGGATCCTGCTGGTTGCCGGGACCTCCCAGAGCACTGGGGCACACGTGTGCCAGTAATCCAGGCCAGACGAGACCGAGGGTGGATACCAGCATGAGGACCATGTTGTGGGTGCCTGTCTCTCTCTTTACTCTCTCTCATGGGAGAAATGCATGAATAATCTTAAAAAAAAAAAAAAGCATTTCCCTTCATGTATTAATCTGAGTGCAGTTGGGGGAGTTTCTCCCTAAGCCACCCCTTTGCTGGGCCCCCCTACAAGGTGTGAGATGGGCTTGACTTCAGACCTTTCGGCAAACCCACTCTGTCCCTTTCTCAGTCATCAATGCCATGGGCAACACCAACAGGGTGCTTCGGGATATAGGGTTAGAAAACCCTTCCTCATAGCCCAGATGCCCTGGCCAGAGGTTCTTGCAGGACGGAGCCAGGTAGCTGGGTGAGTGTGCACTGAACACCCTGTGATGCATATGGCCCCCCGCAACAAAGGACAGTCCAGCCTGGAACGCCAGAGTGCCTATCAAGCCGAGAAGACCCTGGCCCAGCCAAGGAACACTATGTGCATGTGACCAGTGTTCTGGGAGGAGAGCAGTCAGGCTTATTGCGGGTAGTCAAGGGAGGCTCCTAGAGGAGGTGTCACAGGGGTCTCAGCTTCGAGAGCAGGAGGAAAGACCAGAGTGGGAGGAAGGACCTCACAGGTGGGAGGGGGAATACACCATAGCAAAGGCTCAAAGGTAAGAGTCCCCACACGTCTGGGCACCGGCTAGAGAAGAGCATGCGGGTGTAGGTCTGGCCTCTCCTAGACTTGCCTGATGGAAACCAGCGCCTGAAATGCGTCTTAGACACACTGGCCAAAGAGCCTGGGGAATTCTTTTAGGACCTCTGTGCTCCCATACATGAAATGGGGCTGAATAACCACAGCCTTTCTCATAGGGCCAGAAGTAAATTAATACGGTAAGGCGCCTTCATGGTAAGCACCTCAAACGGGAGTCGTAACGTCCCTCCAGGATGAGGCGCCCCGGTCTCTCATCCTCCCCACACCTCAGCATCCTGCCTAGGGCAGAGGCTCAAAAAGTATTTGCCAAGGGGATTTGCTCCTTTGCAAAACACACATGGGAGGTGATTGGGCAGGACAGTGACATGAGGGAGGAGACACAGTGATAGAGCCTGCGAGAGGCAGGCAAGCGGCATGACAGGGGTCCCTGGGGTGTGTTACCCGTCCGGAGCTGCCCAGGCTGTCTTCGTCAGACTCGTACCTCCGATTACCGTTGGAGTGGCCCTGGAGAAAAGCAGAGACCAAGTGACCAAAGGTTCTCCCAAGAACCTCCTCCTGAAAAAGGGTGCCACCCTCCCAGGCTCTCTTGGCCCAGAAACCAGCCTGGCCCTCCTGAGTGACCCATTGAGAAACAGCTCGTATACTTCCTCCCCTGCAAAAGGGACACGGGGGCCCCAGGCAGGGTTGAGGTGCTGGTGCGGCCACAGCCTTCCTGTCTCCCCATGTGAACAGACAGAACTGACTCAGAAGCACAGGATTCCAGCGCAAAGCCACGGAAACAGGGCCAGGTCCTTCCTCTGGCTTGTTTGGCCATTTTGGGAAAAAAAAAAAAAGTGTATGCACTAACGAAATTACACAACTGCACTCAGTACACTCACAAAATCACTCATCTTTACAGCCACCAGTGAACGACCGGCTCTGCAGCTTAAAGGTGGACACAATTGAGACCAGCAGACGGCATACTGGTTAAGTCACTGGACTGCCGTGCAGCCGACCGCGGCTTGAGTGTTGGACCTGGAGGCTTAAAACTCACATCAGGGGACCAGCGGATGCTGTAATGGTTACGTCACTGGACTCCCACAGAGTTGATCGTGGTTGACTCCTGGACCTAGTGGCTTAAAACTCATGCCAGGCACATATGCATATGTGCCTGAAATCCCGAGAGGTGTGACTAGAGGAGAAGGAATTGCAGCATGGCCATCTCCCCTGAGGGGTGATTTCTTGATTTCTGTCTCTCTGGATTTCTCTGACTCTCTGGCGAGAGACACCCTATAGCAAAAATCTCTCAAAACAAAAAACTCACATCGGGGGCATGTGTGTGCGTGCCCAAAACCTCAAGAGGAGAATGAAGGAGGAATTGCAGCGTGACCATCCCACCTGGGGGGTGATTTCTAGCTTTCTGTCTTTCTGTCCCTCTGTCTCCCCAGCAAGCACACACGCCCTGTAGCAAAAAATCTCTCAAAAACCCCCACCATTTCTGAAGTTTAATACATAGTCTTAATTACACCAGAGTTCTCATGTCCTAAGATCACAGGGACTGGAGTTTCAACTGTCTCCAAGGATCCAATGCAAAACAAAATCCAACGCTATCTAAAAGACTGATATATTTACAGTAAAAATTCATACGAACTAAGTGCTACCCCTTCCTCTTTTGATTCATCTGTTACCGACAGGAAGATGAGTGTCCGGAAGGCATATATCTGATTCACAGTCATAAAGCTGAGACCAGATGGAGATATCTCCTTGAAGTGCAGGCTGGATTTCAGCACATGGTAAAACATGGCTGGTACTGCCACAGGCTGCTCTCGGTAGGAAGTTGCTGAGGGTCCCTGAGGAAACTGACCTCTGGAGCTCTCCCCAGGACTGGCAGGATCCTGTGCCTCCAAGCAGTGTCCCCCCACACCTATACCAACACCAGGCCAACCTATTACCCAGTATCCACTCTGCTCAGCAACTAACAGCTCCACCTTCATCCTAAGATTTGCCCGCCATTTTTGATGCTCACCGGTATCTAAGCCTCTGCACAGTCCCCGACTGGTCTAGATGACCCTGTTTTATCATCTTCCCTGTATTTATCTTTATGTGAAATAATCTTGCTTATTAATTTATTTGTTATGCTCTAAGGATCCATGCACATTCTCCCTCTAGATTTTTCTCCTGCTGGGGGATAAATGAGGTTACAGGGGACTCTGGTCTCACTTTCCGGGGGTTCCTTACATGTTCTCGAGTCTCAGAGTCGTCCAGTTCACCCCGCTTCTCACTGGGGACCAGCGGATGCTGTAATGGTTACGTCACTGGACTCCCACAGAGTTGATCGTGGTTGACTCCTGGACCTAGTGGCTTAAAACTCATGCCAGGCACATATGCATATGTGCCTGAAATCCCGAGAGGTGTGACTAGAGGAGAAGGAATTGCAGCATGGCCATCTCCCCTGAGGGGTGATTTCTTGATTTCTGTCTCTCTGGATTTCTCTGACTCTCTGGCGAGAGACACCCTATAGCAAAAATCTCTCAAAACAAAAAACTCACATCGGGGGCATGTGTGTGCGTGCCCAAAACCTCAAGAGGAGAATGAAGGAGGAATTGCAGCGTGACCATCCCACCTGGGGGGTGATTTCTAGCTTTCTGTCTTTCTGTCCCTCTGTCTCCCCAGCAAGCACACACGCCCTGTAGCAAAAAATCTCTCAAAAACCCCCACCATTTCTGAAGTTTAATACATAGTCTTAATTACACCAGAGTTCTCATGTCCTAAGATCACAGGGACTGGAGTTTCAACTGTCTCCAAGGATCCAATGCAAAACAAAATCCAACGCTATCTAAAAGACTGATATATTTACAGTAAAAATTCATACGAACTAAGTGCTACCCCTTCCTCTTTTGATTCATCTGTTACCGACAGGAAGATGAGTGTCCGGAAGGCATATATCTGATTCACAGTCATAAAGCTGAGACCAGATGGAGATATCTCCTTGAAGTGCAGGCTGGATTTCAGCACATGGTAAAACATGGCTGGTACTGCCACAGGCTGCTCTCGGTAGGAAGTTGCTGAGGGTCCCTGAGGAAACTGACCTCTGGAGCTCTCCCCAGGACTGGCAGGATCCTGTGCCTCCAAGCAGTGTCCCCCCACACCTATACCAACACCAGGCCAACCTATTACCCAGTATCCACTCTGCTCAGCAACTAACAGCTCCACCTTCATCCTAAGATTTGCCCGCCATTTTTGATGCTCACCGGTATCTAAGCCTCTGCACAGTCCCCGACTGGTCTAGATGACCCTGTTTTATCATCTTCCCTGTATTTATCTTTATGTGAAATAATCTTGCTTATTAATTTATTTGTTATGCTCTAAGGATCCATGCACATTCTCCCTCTAGATTTTTCTCCTGCTGGGGGATAAATGAGGTTACAGGGGACTCTGGTCTCACTTTCCGGGGGTTCCTTACATGTTCTCGAGTCTCAGAGTCGTCCAGTTCACCCCGCTTCTCACTGGGGTACCCACTGTCCCCACTGTTCTCAGAGTCCTGTGGAGAGAAGATGGCCTTAGGGTCTCAGTGGTCTTCCGAGAACCTGAGAGGGGTGTAGTGACATGTGGATATCCCAGCCCTCTGCGCTCTCTCCTCTGACTCGTCACCTCACACGGCATCCTCTTCCTCCCGTCCCTTGCTGGCTGGGTGACAAGGGAGCAGTGTTAAGTAGTGGCAGCGAGCTTGGGCTCTGGGGCCAGCCAGGGCTCAACCCTGGCTCTGTGTTACCTGCCAGCTGGGACCCTGTTTAAGCTCTCTGAGCTTCAGTGTCCTTAGCTATGGAGATTCAAGACAGCACCTACGTCAGAGGGCTGTGAGGGGGGCTGGGTGGTGGTGTAGCACTAAGAGATGACACTGTGTGATTTCTCTCAGTACACCAGGCATGTCTGTGCCCATGATCCAGGGCCGGCTGAAGCTGGGGTGGGTAGGGCATCAAGACCCTGTTCAGATACTGTTTTTCTTTCTCTCTCTCTGTCTCTTTTGATCATAGAAGAAAGAGTTAATAGACTTACAAAAAAAATAAAAGCTGTGAGGATGAGCTGAGATGTCACACTCTGAGAATGCACATCATGGTAAGTGCGACGACTAAGAATGGCTTACTCATTTCACAGGCAAAAAACGAAGGCTGGTTTAAGGACTACAAGCCAGAGATAAACGTAGAGAGTTGGAAACAATATTTACAGCTAAGTCCCTCCACCCTACCGCACAGGTCAAGGGTGAACAGTGGTATAGGGGTTAAACACAATGCTCTACGAGGGTGACCCACAGAGGAAGGTTCCGGGTTCATGCCCTGAGACCTCCCCGTGTGTGCTCCGCACGTGTGCCCATGATCCAGGTGGCCGAGGCTGAGGGTGGGTCGGAGTTAGGACTCTCTTGAGGGTACTGTCTCTGTCTCTGTTTGTCTCTGCTCATAGAAAGAATAAATACATAAACAAACAAACAAACAAAAAACTGCACAAGGGGGCTGGCAGGTGGCGTGGTGGTTAAGGCTGTAGACTCCCACATGGCCAAATGTAGTTCAAGTCCCAGATCTGGCAGCTTGCTTTCTCACTGTCCCTCTCTATTTCTCTCTCTCTCACTTTGTCTCTGATCAAATTTAAATAAACAAATAAAGTTAAAAAAAAAACAACAACCTGCACAAATCACCCAAACATATTTTTTATTCTAGACCTGAATTCTAGTTTGAGAGGGAATCTGACATCATGTAGAATCTCTATAAAACTTCAATCACATGCTTCCTGACACTGAGCTGGGCCTTCTCTGCATGTCCCCTGCATCTTCATAATCTACTGTCACAGCTGGCAGGTGGTGTGGTAGTTAAGACACTAGACTCCCACATAGCCGACCATGGTTCGAATCCTGGACCTGACAGCTTGCTTTCTTACTCCTACCCTTGCCCTGTCTCTCCCTGGTCAAATTAAAAATTAATTAATTAATTAAATTAAGTGATTACTTTAAGAATTATTTTTTATTTAATCTTATTCATTGTCCTTATTTTTTATATTTTAGTTTTTTGAAGTTGACCAGAGAGAAGGAAAGTGAGAAAGTAAGTGGTCAGGTCTGGGACTTGAACTGTGGTCACCCATATAGGAGTCCAGCTGCCTTAACCACCATACCACCTGCTGGCCCCAAATAATTACTTTTTAAAAAGAAGAAATAACCTACTGTCATTATTGTTCTTTCTTTATTCTACTGATGAGTATTTCAAACACAAAAATAAGATTAGGGAATACTAAAACGAATTGTTATATACCTACCACCCAGTATTGCCAACTTGTAACATTATGTCGTAGTTACTTTAGAGCTTTCATTTTTTTAAAAAATCATCATTAAAATTTAGAACTCTTGTGTGTCACTCTCCACCCAACTCTCTTCCCCCTCCAGATAAAACCATGTTCATAAATTCATACTTCCATAACTCTTCTTTAGATCAACCATTTTCTGTTACCTAAATAAATACAAAAGAAGCGTGGTACCACTACCACAAGGCAAATCACTCTCACAGACGGGGGCCACAAGGACACACAGAATGAAATCCTTGGCTACCCCAAGGAGCCATGGTGTCCTGAAAAGATCCCTGGTCTTTCTCTAGACAACCCTAAAGGATAAAGGATCACTACCACTTTCCCCACAAGGTCTTTGCTCTGCATGAGCTGAAATCCTGGTTGTTTTATTTATTTATTTTTTTCCCTTTTACCATTTCAACTTGTGAAACTGAGGTAAGATTTACATACAAGAATGTGGAAGTGTTCAGTATGCTGAGTGCAAGGCCATTCTGAAAAGTATCTGCAGGCCCTTCCCAGGAATTCCAGGCACCCCACGCCTTGGCCCTCACCAACCCACACGAACTTGGGCACCTTAGCCCACCCTTGGAATCAGACCCATGCCTTATAACAGAGAGCCTCCCTCAAACCCCAGCTCTGTATCTCCAGCGAGGTAGCTAACTTCTAGGAGTCTCAACTTCCTCATCTGAGAAATAGGGTGAGTATCTCCCCCAAGGTGGGGCACACAAGGAAACAAAGGACAGTGTGCAGAGGGTGGTCTGGGGTCAGACACTGCGAGTTTGAACCCTCGCTCCATCACTGAGTGACTGTGACAAAGTGACTTAACGTCTCTGTAGCTCAGTTTCATCACTCTAAATGAGGGATAATGACAGAACTGTTTGAGTAGCTGCTAATACTTGGGATAAGATGCAGCAGTGGGCTGGATGGTGGCACAGCAGTAAAACCCAATGCTCTAAGGGCCAGCAGGTGACATGGTGGTGAGAGTGCTGCCCTTCCACATGGCTAACCTTGGTTTGAGTCCCAGAACTGTTAGTTTGAAATTCATGCCAGGCATGTGTGCGTGCATGCCCAAAATCCAAAGAAGAGAATGGAAGACAAGGGATTGTGGCATGGCCATCTCTCTGGTGAGTGATTTCTCTCTTTCTGTCTTTCTCTCTCTGCCTCTCTGGTGAGTGCACATGACTATAGCAAAAAATCTCTCTTGAAAAAAAGTCATGAAATTGAAGCCAGCTGGTGGCGTGGTGGTTAAGGTGGCTGGACTCCACATGGTTGACTGTGCGGTTGGAATCGCAGACCTGGCAGCTTGGTAAACACATGGGGTACATGCGCACACATGCCCAAAATCCTAAAAGGAGAATGCGAAGAGACTGTGACTGGTCATCTCCCCAGGGGGTGCTTTTTCACTCTCTCACCAAGGAGTGCATGAGCCTTCTAGCAAATTTTAAAAAAAAGAAAGAAAAAGTCACAATGTTAATTAAAAGAAGCAGGCAGTGAGAGACCAGTGTGAGAGAGACTTGCGACCACAGGCTGACCTTTTGTTCCTTTTCTTTTGGAACCATGAGAATGTATTGCCTATTCTAACAGCCTGACACGTGTTCTAATTCTAGAATAAAACCTATCTGAGAAAGAGTTTTACTTGTATGTAACTGTGAGAATGGAATGATAATATCTACCAAGCCATTAAAACAATATCTGCCCATAGGTACAGTTCCATACATATCATTATTAGTATTTTTTTCTTCTATTCAAGAACTCTGAGAAGCAGCCAAGAATGAACTGGTACCTCTGGGACAATCTGAGAGTACAGCTTAAAGTGAGCTTGTGGTCTGTGCAAGTGTGACATCGAAAAGTTGATTTAAAAAATTCATATTCTTGGGCCTGTAGGTTGGCATGGTGGTTAAGGCAGCTGGACTCCCACATGGCTGACTGTGGTTCAAGTCCCAGACCTGGCAGCTTGCTTTCTCACTTTCCTTTTCTCTCTGGTCAACTTCAAAAAATAAAATAAAAATAAAATAATGACAATGAATACAATTAAATAAAATAACTTTTTAAGAAATTCATACTCTTTTTAAAAAATAGTTATTTAATTTTATTTATTCATTTGTTTATTTTATTTATTTATTTATTTATTTTGGAGAGGTTCTTGCTATAAGGGCATGTGCGCTCGCCAGAAAGACAGAGTGAGACAGAGAGATAGAAAGCGAGAAATCACCCCACAGTGGGGATGGCCACAATGCAATCCCTTCTCCATTCTCCTCTCGGGATCTTGGGCATGCACACACACACACACACACACACACACACACCTGGCATGAGTTTAAGCCACCAGGTCCAGGACTCGAACCATGGTTGACTACATGGGAATTCAACGACATAGCCATTACGCTAACTGCTGGTCCCTATTCATTTGTTTATTTTAATTTGACCAGAGAGAGACACAGAGAGAAAGAGAAAGGGAAAGTGAGAAAGCTAGCCGCCAGGTCCAGGACTCAAACCATGGTTGACCATGTGGGAGTGTCCAGCACCTTAACCACCATGCCACCTGCTAGTACCAAAAATTCATATTCTATTTTAAATTGTGTTCTCTAGAAAGGCAGAGAGAGAGGAAGAGAGAGGAAGAAAGTATCCCTCTCAAGGGGACACAGTCAAGTCATGTGTCTTGGGGCACACACGTACATGTACTCAGCATGTTTTCCAAGCTAGGGGGGTCGGGATTTGAACCGTAGTTAGTGAAGCGGGATCTGGTTCCCTTAACTATGAGACTACAGGCCTGGATCTGAATGTTTAATTTGATACCATAATATATAGGGTCTTTAAAAGGTACATGAAAAAGACATAAAAAAAACACACATAGATTTCAAAAGTTTTTCACACCAAAATAAAGTTGCACAAAGTTTATGAAGTCCTTTTGCCTACACTTATAGGAATGCAAATATGAGGCTTCAGTTTCTTACCACTGAGTCCTTGTGCAGCTGTAGGAAACATTCTGTTTATTCAACCCTTGAGCATTACGGTTGTGCTACCTGCCTTGTGTATGAGAATCAGTACAGTGGCCCCATGAGAGGACTTATCACACAGGTGTGGTCACACACGCGCTCAGGGCTGAGCCTGGAATTTACCAGGAGGTCACATAGTTGCTGATTTGGAATCTCCTCTCCCTCCCTATCACTGTAACTGCAGTAGACTCAGCTCTTCCCAGAGAAATACTCTGCCTTGGTGGGAGGCTGGGATTCATTTGCATCCTCCCCGCTGTCCCCAGCCTGTACCCTGCAGTGCCCTGAGCAGACCGGGTTGAAGATTCACCCTTGGTTCCCACCGGGAGACAGTCGAGACAGTCCATTTCTCCCAGCCCTGCTGTGGACTGGAGCCTGCGGACCCCCTCCCTCCTTTCCTCCTACTCACCCGGTGGTTGTCCAGCTGGTCATGGTCTCTGGGCACCACGTTATCAAGGTCACTGAACACCGGCCAATCTGGGAAATACAGATAATGTGCTGTTTCCATGCCCGGGACATTCACAAGAGCCAACTGCACCTGCCACCAAGCCTCTTTTAATTTTTAAACAAAGGCACAAAATGGAGAAGAATGTTGCCAGCATCGGGGTTGGGGGAGGGATAAGGACCTTCCTTCAGACTTATTCTAAGCCTGCCACCTGCAGCCAAGTGGTCCTGAGCAAGCGGCTTTGTCTCTGGGCCTCCTCAGGGTTATCGTGATGCCAGCCAGTGTACTTCTCAGCTTGTGTGGCTGCCACGCCCAGACATTGAACCTGGTGCTCAGGGAAGACAGAGAGGCCACGTGCACATTCAGGCCATGAGCAGGCCTCAGGTGGCTTCAAAACTAACTACCTCCTGACAACTCCCTCTCTTTGTCTACTGCCCTGAGCTCTCTTAAGCTAAATCATGTCTGGCCAATGGTTTTTATGCAGCTTATAAGAATTTTTAAAATTTGCTCTAGGGTGTATGCACTTGAGAGAGACAGAGCGAGAGAGAGAGAGACAGAAACAGAAAGTGAGAAAGTATCCCCTGTAGAACATGGTCATACCATAATCTCTCCTCCTCCTTCTCCCTCCTTTTAGAATTCTGGGCATGTATGCACTCGTGCCTACCGTATTTTTCAAGCTGCCGGGTCTAGGACTTGAACTGCCTAGTCAGATATGTGGGATCTGGCTGCCTTATCCACCATGCCACCTGGATGGTGCAAGAATAGTTTTTAAATTTTTTTATGGTTGACAAAAATTAAAAGAAGAATATTTTGTGATATGTGAAAATTTAATGAAATTTAAATCTCAGTGTCTATAAATAGAGGGTTTTTAAAGTTTATTTACTTCTTCCATGAGAAGTACCTCCCAAACGGGTGTTGGAGACACACTCCACTTCTAGCCTCATCTAGACCCTGATCATGGGTACACATGTGGGCGGTGTGCTCAAGAAGGTCTAAAGACTAGAACCTGGAACCATCATGTGAGTCAGCCTCACAGAGCTGTGTTTTATCACTGCAGCACTGTCCAGCCCTATATAGAACACAGCTACACCCATTCGTTTAGCTATTTCCTACGGTTGCGTTTAAGCTGGCAATGCAGAGACCATGCAACCTACCAAGTTTAAAATATTTATGCTCTGGCCCTTTAAGAAACTGTTTTTTGACCTTTCCTCCAGACTATTCCGGAGGATTTCTAGTAGAAACATCCAAACAGCTTCTTTAACATTTTAAATGACCACATTATCCTTCCAGTTCTTCAGGCCCAAACCCGGGCATCAGCTTTGCCTTTCTTCTTTCTTACAGACGCCCACACCCTCATCAACAGCAAACTCCGCCATTTCAACTTCAGAAACAATGGTGTCAGGGCCCAGATGATGGCGCAGCAGAAGTACAACACTGCAGGGCTGACCCACGGTGGGAAGGTTCCAGCTTTGTGTTCAGAGACCTCCCTGAACACACCAGGTACACGTGTGCCCATAACCTGGGGCCGGTTGAGGCTGGGCTGAACTGCAGCATAGACACTTTATTGGGACAGCATAGACACTGTCTCTCTGCCTCACTCATGGACAAAGAAAACAAAATAAACTTAAAAATAAAAGCAGAAAAAAGGCCAGCCAGTGGCATGGTGGTTAAGGCAGCTGGATCCCACATGGCCAGCTATGTGGTTTGTGTCCCAAACCTGGCAGCTTGAAAAACATACCAGGTGCGTGCGTGTGCATGCTCAAAATCCCAAGGGGAGAATGGAGAAGGGATTGCGGTGTGACCATCTCCCCTTGGCAGGCTTGCTTTCTTTCTCTCTCTCTCTGGCAAGTGCTTCAGCCCTACAGAAAAATTCCAACAACAACAACAACAAAACAGAAACGATGATTCCATTTTTTTCCCTTTGACCCATTAACATAATGTTAATATTATTTCTTTATGTAGAATAACCTCAGACTCCTGTGGAAATCCTCTTCGACTATGAAAAACTATTCTTTTATGATACTACTAATTTTGTTAATAGCCTATTTAGAATTTTTGAGTTTTATATGTATGAATAAATGAGGCTAGCATACAATTTTCTTTTTTGGTGTTTTGTTCAATTTTGATATAAGGTTTTTTGTTAATTTCATAAAAGACACGGAAAACTTCTACTTCTTTTCTTTTTTTCCCTTTCTTTCCTTTTTAAATTTAACTACCTTGTTTTCTACGATAGGGGTTGTTTTTACAGCATTTGAATAGCTTGTGACTTGAAAGTGCATTCAAAGAACCCACCCATAAAACCATCTGGGCCATGAACCTTTTTGGTTGGTGTATCTGATTTTCTAATACAAATGAAAGCCAGTTTAGCTCTGCTCTCCTTGTTGCCTGTTCCCCCCAATCTCAGGGACCCAGGGACCAAACCATTACTCACGGAGGTGGTCCAGCTTCTGGCTGTGTGGTGTGGCAGAGGACGGGGAGGATGGGAGAGAGTCAAAGGTCATGTCGCTCATGTTCTCGTCTCCTGAGTTCTCTGAAAGGCGAAGGAGCAGGGGAGGACGGCTCCCAGAGAGGGTCCTTACTCGGGGACTCCCACACTTTTCCTCTGTTCCCCTCAAGATGGTCTTGGCTGATTGCTGAGGACATTAACAGGAATGTACGTGTCGCATAGCTACCCTCTGGGAGTGAAGGGCTCTTCCTGTTGTTCCCTCAAACCCGAAGCCTTTTCAACCTCGGCTTCTACATGTCTGTTAAGGGGCTGATAGAAAATCTAAAAAAAAGGCCCAAACTGGTGATGCAGCCAATAGCATCTGAGCTGCAGTGCTTGCAAGCCATTGGCCAAATGCAGGTTCAGATCCGTGGACTGATCTGAAAACACGCCAGGTGTGTGTGTGCCCACAATCGGATGGGGTACAGGGCTGGGGAGAGGGGCTCACCTTCTCAAGGGGGCCCTCCACCGAGCTCTCTGTGCATTCACACTCTCTAGCACTGATAAACAAACAGAAAACTGGGGGGAAATATCACTGGGGAATTAACCCCACGGCCTCCAAGAAAGGGCAGCTGGGACAGGTGCTCAAAGGGCCTGCCAGCTGGCCTGCCCCAAAGTGCTGACCACACTCACAGCCCGAGCTGGAGAACACATCCCACCACGTGTCCAGAGCCCAAGCTGTCTTTGCCATCGTCCTCTCATATCTGGTCCCTGCAGCAGGGGTGGGGTGGGCGGCCTCAACCTGGACACAGCAGGTGCAGGAGAGCCAGGTCTGCACCTCGTGCAGTCACTGTGGACACACACACAGCACACAGCACACACCTCGCCCTCTCTACATGCCTGCTCCCCTCACTGGCCAAAATGGGCCCAATTCCAGCAACACCAGCTTCTCTTATTGGGATACACTCCGGCGGGATTTGGTCACCCAGCAACACCAGCTTCTCTTATTGGGATACACTCCGGCGGGATTTGGGCACCGAGTTGGGGTGGGGGGGGCGGACAGGGAAGGGCACAGATAGGACAGACCCCTCCACCCCTGACATTCCTCAACGCAGCACTGCCAGGCCTGGCCATCGTCACACAGGGAAGCAAGGCTCGCTATTCAGTCAGTGGAAGGGCCTGTCAGTCCAGGCAGGTGCGCCCCAGGCACCCACCAGCAGCTTGGTGTTCTGATTCACTGCGTCCTGCTCCCGTGGCGAGAGGTCAAAGGGAGTGAGGCCCATGCTCTTGCAGATCCGGTTGCAGGCGTGAGAATGGAAGAAGAGAGCCATCCCCCGGACACCTGCGGACAGAGCAGGGGTATCTGGAGATCACTTTGCTTTGTGATAGGGAGGGGCAGTGCTGGGCACCATAAACTGGCTAGAGTAGGCATAAACAAGCTGAGTTAGAGGGCCCAGACGCCCCAGGGCCCCACTGATGCTCTCGGAGAAGTCGATCAGCTGTTGCAGCCCGTTTCCTCTAGCGGACAAAGGGCTCAGGGCACTGAGCAGGGAGCGTGGTCTCCGTGGACACAGACCGCTCTCCCCACCTACCTAGGTTGCCGTCTCCAAAGTCAGTGCCCGTCTCTGTGTGGATCTGCGGGTCGGTGTAGAGGTCGCCCACGCCCTGGATGTCTACCACGATTAGCTGGTGGCCAGAACGCTCAAATGTAAAGTGGCTGAAGGCCTGTGGAGGGGCAGAAAGATGAAGGAGGTTGCAGGGCAGCCTGTAGTCTAGTGGTTAGGGAGTAGGATCCCAGGGGCTGAACATATGTGGAGTCCTGGACCTACTGGCTTACAAGACATGCCGAGCACATACGCACGCATGCCCCAGATCTCAACAGGATGGAAGAATGGAAGGACTGCAGGGTATAGCGCTTTCTCCTCTGTCTCTCTGTCTCTCTCTGGTGAGTACACGTGCCCCCTGACAATTAATTAACTAATTAATTAATTAATAGAAAGAAAAGGGAGATTGCAGAGCCTAGGCTGTGGGCTGTACTATTCTGTGGGTGCCACAGCCTGGCTCTGGGGTGTTGGGTGGCTTTCTCCACACGGAGACGTTGTACAGGGGAAACGTAAAGGGAAGAGGCTTGTTCGGGTCCGCCAGGGCCTTGGGGCGGCCCGTCC